GAGGGAAGCGTGGCCCCAAATCCCAGCGTGGGACCGCCCAGGCACACCTCACCCCGTGCGGGGGGGTCGGGGCTCCTTCCCCATTTCTCTTCCCCTTCGCAGTTCTGATGGGCACGGCGGCTCCGTGTGATGCGTCCCCGCTGGCCCAGCACGCGGCCCTGAGGCAGGACGAGGTGTGCTGTCAGCTCCCCACTGTCCATTTTCCCCCTTTTTCCCTGGTTCCCACCTCACACCTGCAGCCCAGCCCTGCTTCTGCTGCAGCCCCCGTGCGCACATCTCCCAGCATGGTGTTCGTAAGCGCTGTGGCTTCATCCCCACCCAAACCCATCTCAGCAGAAGTGGTTTTTGCAGCTGTGCCCTGAACAGCACATTTTCAAAATCCACGTTTCCTGCCTGGAGCTAAAGGACTTTGCCCCCCATGCGCTTCATTTTCTCCCCCTGTCCCACCCCCAGAAAGGTGAACGTCACCGCGCTCATCTCCCACCTCAGAGCCGCGCGCTGCTGCGGGGAGCTGCCATCCCAGCATCGGGCACACACAGGATGGGACACGGGGCCGCAGGTGGGGCTGTTTCTAGGGCAGAGATGGAGGAGATGCCTCAGGCAGAACGCACACTGCCACAGGTTTGGGGTTTGCTTGGGCACCGCTGCCCTGCTCCGCTTCCACGTCAGATGGCACTCTGTGCCGCTGCAGCCCCGAAGCCAGCACAGCCCCTGCACAGGGCGAGGCTGCAGGGCTCCACCAAGACAACGACACGAGGCCTCTGTGCCAACCTCAGGTTTTGGGGCAGCCAACCTCTCCTGATGTGCAACACACACAGCTCTGCTGCTGCCTATGCACAGAGGCTCCCAAGAACAGCCCGAAGCCCCAAAGCCCTCTGCTTGCGTACGGCGGGGCTGGGGACGCATCTCCATCCTTGTTCTACCACTGGGGCTGACAGCAGCTCCAGGACTACCTGGCTGAGTGGAGTCACCGTGCTGGCACCATCCCAGGGCACCCAACGTGTCTCCAAACCGTCACCACACACCTCAAGGAGCCACAGACCCACTGCTGGGGGGGAACCAGAGTGCACCCCAGCATCAGCCCTGCTGCTCTTCCCTACACGACCCACCTGCCCACCCAGCCCGGCGGCTGCGTCCCTGAAACTGAGCACACTGTGACATGGAACATGACAGCTCCTCAGAGGAGGTCCCTATGCCGAACACATGGACAGAGGGCAGAGCCCCTCACAAACTGACAGGAAAGCAGCAATAAGAGTTACTCACCGAACCCTATGGTGTGCAGGATCGATTCCGTGCTCATACACAATGAGGGGCAGGCAGGACAGAGCTGGGCTGCGGTGCTGGGCAACGTGTGGCTGTTCTGCATCCTATGAGCCCCCCAGCACAGCCAAACCATCCCGCCCCAATAAACGCAGCTGTGCAAGGAGCTGGGCAAGGTGCACGGCAATGCACTGCTTCACTGCCTGCTGCCCCAAGCTGCTCAGCCCCCAGCACAGCCCCACAGCCCAGCAGAACCAGTGGAAGGGAGAAAGGGGGGGGGTCCCTGTGCCACCTCTCAGCACAGTCACGTGCAGAAGCTTTGCCAATGAGGCAGAATAAACAGCTTTCAGATCGCCTCCAAAGCGGGGCCCCCGGTGGGGTTTTCTTCCCCCCCCCCTCCTGTACATTAAAAAAGATTTTTATTCCTGGTGCCTGTTTTCACAGCTGCCTGCGTACCTGAAAGGAATCTTCTGCCCCTCCTCAAAAACAAACCAAAACAAAAATTAAAAAAAGTTTTATTATTGCACCTTCCACACTTCTGATAAACGCATGCAGGCAGAGGAGCCGCAAGAAACCCCTTCTGCTTCCCAGCCATGCTCTGCTCTGCTCAGAACTAAAATACATAAAGCAAACAAACAAAATCCAGAACCACCACACCAACCCCACCACACCACCGCCCCGAGGTGCTTCTGTGTCCGAGCTTCTGGTGCTGCTCGACCCGATTCCTGCAGCACAGGAGGAGCTCTGCTGGAGCACGAAGCGCAGCGCTGCTCCCTGCCAACGCGGGGACGGGGAGCGCCGGGCTGAGCTGACGGCTCCGAGCACGCGGCCAACAGCAGCTTTTATTTTATTGCATTTCACTTTTTTATCCTTCTTTTCTTTTTTTTTTTTTCATAGAAGAAATGGGACTGAGCCAAGCCGTGCCCAGCAACGCTGCCGGCACTGTAACTCGGCACAGCCCTGCACGGACATCCCGGGCCCAGCTCACAGCTCCCGAGCACAGCGCACAGCCGCAGCATCTCCTCTCGGCCCAACTCCCCCCCGACCTCCTCGCTCCCAAACGCGTTTCCCCGCAGCGCTCCGATCCCCGGCAGCGCTCCCTGCAACCCGCGGGCTTTACATCGGAGCAGAACTTTGCAAAGCGATTCCAGTCCGGAGCAGCATCGCAGCGAGCGGCGCGGCCCCGCACAGCGTCCGCAGGACCCGGCCGCTCGCTCCCATCGCCGGGCTGCTCGGCGGGTCCCAGCCCGGGCGCGTTCCGGCTCCGCTCCCCCCATCGCTCCGTCCCCAGCTCACGGCTCAGCCGCAGGAGATGGAAATCAAAGCGGACAGCGCAGCGCGGCGCAGGAGATTGCCGGCGCTCACTGCTAGTGGGGCTGGGGGCACTGCTGGACCCCCTCCCCAACCTGCAGCCATAGCGCTCCAGGCTCCAACGGAGCCCGGCAAAGGGAAAACATCCCGCAGCGAGAGGAGCCCTCCTGAGCCCCCGGCACCGACAGCCACAGCCGCGTGCTACTTTTAAACACGGCTGTATAAAAGTCACGGATGGGGAGGGAGGACAGAAAAGCGGTGGGGGTCTCAGTGCGACGCCACCTTTTCCCAGGTGAGAAGGGTGGGGGGGGGGGGCGGGTAGGGAAGGAGGGAAGGCCACGACCCCAAAGTGCACCTTTATGCCTCCTTGCATCTTCCCTCAGTGAAGGCACAGCCCCAACGCTCCCCTTCCCCACACACAGCGCTGCCAGGACCTTGCTGCTGGGGGGCACCCCCTGAGGCCGGCATGGGGGGGATTTCCCCTATTCCTCCTCTGCCCCAAATCCAAATCCAGGCTCCATGCAGCAGCTCAACAGAATTCACTGCTCCCAGCAACGCACGGGCTGACAAAACACGGAGCCGGGGGGCCCCAACAGCAACCCCCCCCCAATAATTAATACAAGCTCATACATAAACAGATCAGCCCCCGAACCCGGCCCCACTCACAGCCCCACACCACACACAGAATTTCACCCCACGGCCTTTTCCCGTTGTTCATCTAGATTGAAACGAGGAAAGAATATAATAAAAGAAGAAAAGAAGGCGGGGGAAAGGAACACGAGAAATGTTACAAACCCGCTTATTTCTCCATCCATCCATCCATCCACCCCCGGGGGCTTGTTGGGTTTTAGACTTGAAGGAAAGGTGGGAATTCATGAAAAGAAAGAAAGAAAGAAACTCAGAGTCGGGTTTTGCAGGAGCTCCAGAGCTCTGTTTGTTGGGAATTGAGGGGGGGAGCATCACACAGACCCCAGTGAGTCCCACTGCACCGCACTGATTCCCCATCGCACGGCGGAGATTTTTAACACAGAGAAAGAAATACATAAAAGAATGATAATAATAATTAAAAAAAAAAGTAAATCTTACTTCTGATTCGGCCAAGCTTTTAATACAGAAACTAAGAACTAATTATTATTATTTTTTTATTGCTTTACAACGCGACTGGCGGCTCCGGGAAGAACGGGAGAGGATTCCTTCAGGGCTGTGCAAAGCAGAGCGGAGCCCCAACGCAACTTTACCCCCCCAGCACAGCACGGAGCGTTCTGATTTACCCGAATTAAAAGCGCACGGCGACGGAGGGGGGAGAGAGGGTGGGAGAAGGGGAGACAGCACCGCGCTTTGGGTTCGGTCGGTGGGTTTTTAAGAAAAGGAAAAAAAAAAAAAAAAGATTTTGAGCTGGAAAATGAAAAGCCGACCGCGCTCCACTTGTTCCCTCCCGGCGCTGCTCCGGAGCGCTCCGCCGACGCGGCACTGAGCGGCCGTCCCCAAATCGCAGCCGTCCCCAAATCGCAGCCGTGTGACACCGGCGGGGAAGGACCGAACCCCCCCCCATCCCACCCCAAACCCCGCCGGGATCCTTCGGGCGGGGCCGTCCCACCGCGGGGGCGATGCGCTGTTACCCCCCCGGCCCCATTCCCTCCCTGCAGCCCCTTCGGCGCACCGCCCCGACGAACAAAGGCACCGAACCCCGAAAGCCGCCGCACCGCCCCCCCCCCCC